GATAGTTATCATTAGCCCTGGAGCTTCGCAGAGAGGAGAAGGAGCATCAAAGTGACAAAAAGTCGAAAGGGGGAACAGAAGAGTGATTCACAGATGTAAAAGAGACAGACAGACAGAAACAAAGGCATAAAAAGGTAAGCTGAGTACTGTGAAAGGGATCGAATATGACAAATAGTCGGGCCATAGTAGTTTGAAGTCAGAAGTCAACTGCCGATCAATAGACGTTGCCCAGAGTGCACCACGTGGAGGTAAGTCTATTGCGCACCCCTCTCTATAATAGTAATTTGAAACAATGTAAATCAGTTTAACTCTTTATCACCCTCAGGACCCTATGTTCAGATGGCGCTATTACCATTCGAAGTTTGCCAAATACGTCTATAGCCTTTGCCTGATATCACCAAAACTCATCACGTCGGCATTAGCCTGTTGTGAGACACGTGTGAGTGCGGTTGGGAGCATTTTCAAGAAAATAATTTGGGTGTAATGGGGTTAACAACTACAAAATTTGCATTAATGATAAGATCTGCAATGAACAAAATCCCAAACCAATTAAATAGTAACAAATTTATAAGTGTCTTAATTAGAAATAAGTTATCAGCCTCATAACCGGAGAAGTGTTGATGTGGCAAATATGTGGGGAAGGGATTTACGTCACAATCAATGTCCTTTGCTTTGAATCACCAAGTGATTTCAAAATGGGTGATTGAGAATCTTCACTTTCCCCTGTGAATTGAGGGGGGGGGGATCAAGTTGAAGAGTTAAAACACTTGCTCGCTACACCAACAGCAACACGGCCGCACTTTCGAGATCATTCGTGCGCGCAAGTGATCTCTCTATCCAGCTATGGTAGTGTTGCGCAATTCACAAGCCTCTTTGATTTTATTCATAGGTTGCGAGAAATAGAAATGAAATTCGTCACGAAATTTAAGATTAAATAGACGCTGTTTTCTCGTTATTCAGTACGAGTAATAACAATAATAATAATAATTTTCTCAAAAAACTTATCTTCAATACTCAGAGGAAAAAACGCATTTATTTTTGCTTTAATCGATGTGTTGGCTTGCGTTACGTTACTCTTTTTTTGTTTGCTACAACAATGTCCATGTCATGATCTGCTATAACCCAAATTGTCATCGTAATAGTGATAGAAATTTACTAGCTTCTTGCAACACAGCAGTAAGTCACTCTGCTCAGAGTCATTTGATTTGTTGTTGATCGCAGTTTCGTTTATGGAGGTCATGCGTCTTTTAGTCACGAAGTTTATAAAATTAATTTGCTAATTCGAATTTAAGCTAGTGTCTGTCGTGTCTGCTGGCGAGTGGGGTTCCATTGCTCTGAGTTAAAACCGTGATCAAGTCTTCTGGCATCAACCAATGCCCGGGAAGTAGCTATTGTTGTTGACCTAATCATATTAAAGTTGAATTTCTAGAAGAAGAAGAAGAAGAAGAAAGCAACCATTCTCACTAGTCGCAGTATTGGTATTGAAAAGGAACTAGGACTACGGACCCTCCTCTTTTCAGATATTAATATTTCATATGCTGTCAGAACATCGGTGGAGCTAATTTATGCAGAAGTTAGACCCAAAAATTTGATGGATTAAATTCTTTTCTAGCCCTCCCAAGGATATCCCCAGTATTAACATCGTTTGGGCGGATTTACGTTTGAAGCGCCTATCACCTTTGAGAACATCGGCCCCTAAATGACTACTGAAAGTTAATCTAGATATCTGAATCACAGGTAGGTAAATTGTCTTTGGGGTGTTTTCTTCCCATGTTGGTCTGTTTGGACCATAACCCTTTAGCACTATTAGGAAGTTTACGGTCCTCTTTCAAAATAAACCCCATTGGCACTAGACTCGTAACAGAAGGCTCTATTGGCGTTCGAAACATGTTCAATACGTATATAGTCTTCGTCTGATACCAGCAAAACTCATCGCGTCGGCTTCAGTCAGTTGTGAGACACGTGTGGGTGCATTTTTCAAAAAAGATTCGGGCTTTAAAGGGTTAAACCACTAGACTGTACTCAAAACGGACAAGCTTTTCAAACAGCCAGTAAGATGAGCCTGGCTTCTAGGTACTTATCAGTTCCCGACTTAAATTTATTATTATTATATCAAATGGCAGGCGTCTTGATGGTTATCATTAGCCCTTTAGTTGACTTCAGGCTTCACAGAGAGGAAGGTATATCAAATTGAAGAAAAGTCAAGAGGGGAGGGGGAACAGAAGAGTATTTCAAAGATGTAAAAGAGATAAACACAAAGGTAGAAAAAGTTGAGGTGAGTACTATGGAAGTAGTCGAATATGATATATAGTGAGGTGATGGTAGTTTGAAGTGAGAAGTCAACTGCCAGTTAATAGACTTTTTTCCGCATAAGTATACGTTGCCCAGGGTGCACCACATGGAGGTTGTAAGTACACGTTGCCCAGGGTGCACCACGTGGAGGTATGCCGTTTGAGTATACGTTGCCCATTGGTTTATAGACTTGTTTGCCGTATGAGTATACGTTGCCCGTCAATGGGGTGATGGTAGTTTGAAGTGAGAAGTCAACTGCCACAATGGGGTCATGGTAGTTTGAAGTTAGAAGTCAACTGCCTTTAATAGACTTTTTTGCCGTATGAGTATACGTTGCCCAGCGGTTTATAGACTTTTTGCCGTATGAGGTCTGTTGCCCAAATATGACATACAGTGGGGTCATGGTAGTTTGAAGTCAGAGGTCAACTGCCGGTTTATAGACTTTTTGCCGTGTTAGGGTTAGATCAACTGCCGGTTTATAGACTTTTTTGCCGTATGCGCATACACAATGACATACAGTGGGGTGATGGTAGTTTGAAGTGAGAAGTTGTGACATATAGTGGGGTGAGGGTAGTTTGAAGTCAGAAGTCCACTGCCGGTTTATAGACTTTTTGCCGTATGAGTATACTTTGTAACATACAGTGGGGTCATGGTAGTTTGAAGTCAGAAGTCAAGGCATACAGTGGGGTCATGGTAGTTTGAAGTCAGTGGTCAACTATACAGTGGGGTGATGGTAGTTTGAAGTGAGAAGTCAACTACCAGTCAATAGACTTTTTTCCGCATAAGTATACGTTGCCCAGGGTGCACCACATGGAGGTTGTAAGTACACGTTGCCCAGGGTGCACCACGTGGAGGTATGCCGTTTGAGTATACGTTGCCCATTGGTTTATAGACTTGTTTGCCGTATGAGTATACGTTGCCCGTCAATGGGGTGATGGTAGTTTGAAGTGAGAAGTCAACTGCCACAATGGGGTCATGGTAGTTTGAAGTTAGAAGTCAACTGCCTTTAATAGACTTTTTTGCCGTATGAGTATACGTTGCCCAGCGGTTTATAGACTTTTTGCCGTATGAGGTCTGTTGCCCAAATATGACATACAGTGGGGTCATGGTAGTTTGAAGTCAGAGGTCAACTGCCGGTTTATAGACTTTTTGCCGTGTTAGGGTTAGATCAACTGCCGGTTTATAGACTTTTTTGCCGTATGCGCATACACAATGACATACAGTGGGGTGATGGTAGTTTGAAGTGAGAAGTTGTGACATATAGTGGGGTGAGGGTAGTTTGAAGTCAGAAGTCCACTGCCGGTTTATAGACTTTTTGCCGTATGAGTATACTTTGTAACATACAGTGGGGTCATGGTAGTTTGAAGTCAGAAGTCAAGATGTCAACTGCCGATTAATAGACTTTTTTGCCGTATGAGAAGTGATAAGTCAACTGCCGGTTAATAGACTTTTTTGCCGTATGAGTGGGTTGCCCAGGGTGCACCGCGTGGAGGTAAGTCTATCGCAACAACTGCCGGTTAATAGACTTTTTTGCCGTATGAGTATACGGTGCCCAGGGTGCACCACGTGGAGGTAAGTCTAAATATACATTGCCCAGGGTGCACCACGGAGGTAAGTCTATTGCACACCCCATGATACCTATCATAACGCCTGCCATTTGAAAGTACGTTGTCCAGGGTGCACCACGTGGAGGTAAGTCTATCGTATTCTTAAGAATAATTGTTTAGAAAACCAGCAAGGGTTGAAAGTTGCCCAGGGTGCACCACGTGGAGGTAAGTCTATCGCACGCTGTCCAGGGTGCACCACGTGGAGGTAAGTCTATCGCACACACCCCTCCGCTTCCAAATAAGATGTTGATAGTGAAGGCATATTTCCAGGGTGCACCACGTGGAGGTAAGTCTATCGCACACCCACTTGGCTCTCCCCTCAAATTTCAACCCTACACGGATGGGCGTTCCCGACTTAAATACTAGCAACGAAAATTAATTTTGAATAATGATTGACGTACAGACACTCTTATTTCGTTACATTGCCTACCTTTTCTAATACTAGACTTCTTATCATTGTTTATCCGTGAGTCTAATCCGCTGTAATGATATGAATTTTTGTATCAATAAGGCTCTACTTTTCAATGTTCGAACTCATTATTCCCTTTCTCTATTACAATCTCCAACCTAACAACACAACGTTAACCAGTGCTTATTTCTTGACCTGCACATCGGCAGATACTCATTTTAAAGTCTACACCATCTAAACACACATCGTTCACCCTGCTCCACTCAAAGTACTGATCTAAATCCATTCGAAGTACAGTGTAGCCAAGATGAAAGAGATCTCGAATGAATGCAAAAAGGTAAAACACAACCATACTATTTTTATAAGTAGAAAGTACAGAATACTACGCGACCCCATGCAATTGCTCAATATTGCATTTATTTTGACCACCTACTCTAAGAAAATTAGTTTTTTTCGGAAATCGAAGAACAAGAGACGTTTAGTAAATACACAAACACGTAGTAATTTATACTGCTAATCAGTAAGCTTTACACAGTATAAAAGTATATTAATTTAAGAACAAAGAGAGAAAGGGCAAGAAAAAATTACAAGGGAAGAATGGGAGGAGAGGAAAAGAAGACACTCGTGTCACCATACCGCAGAAAAAGAGCAAAATTGAGCTAAACCTTCGGAAGTCTCCACAACGCCTTTTATTAATAAAGTCGCCTCTTCCTACGCTGATTATTCGTATAGACCATGTAGCCCACAACACAGCAGCAGAATATAAAAATAGTCAAGATAATGTAGAGGAATATCGTCCAGATTGAAGTTCTATGCTCGTCCGGAACATGTTCTTAAAAATGAAACACAAAAGAGATATTAATTTAAGAACACTTTTAACACACACAGACACTAGGACAAAAGAAAGGTATCCTGAAGCTTTGTTGATAGAGGAACTGGCATTTGGCCACTCCTCTCTTGACCATTATTAATCAGTCTCGATAAACACCAACTGACCGCTAACTTGGTCATTAGTAAACACAAAAGGAGACCGCAATTACATTTAAATAGACTTACCTCTAGGAGGTGTGGCCGATTCAGCATAAGGTTCAATCATGCTTCGATCTTCAAGAAGTTCTTCTTCCTACGAAGAGAAAATAGGAATAGTTAGTAGAATGACCTGCTCTCTAGCATGAGCCAGTTAAAGCTGTTCGGTTAAATTTATAATCACTTCGGGCTATAAAATACCTAAACAGTGAAACCTTCACATCACTACCCTTTAGCATTCATAACGATCTCCATTCCTGAAATTTAGAAACGCTTACTACCCAATTCTTAAGTAAAAAACAAAATTGTGCCTTCAACATGTGATATTGATCATAAACGAAAGCAGGCGGACGACAAAAAAAAACACGAAATGATAAGTCATTCAGTAAATAGAGCATAGCTCAACTTAATTCGCCTCACACACGGCAAATCTTCGTTTTTCAAACAAATGACAGGAGCATCAACATACTCGACATTACCTCTGAAATTATTAATGATCAATATTGGTCGCTTAAATCACTTGGTGTCGATCATTGATTTGGCAAAATCGTACATTGACCAAGGAGACACCGTTGCAGAAACAACAAGAAGGGCATTTGCGAGCACCAGTATTGGCCAGAGAAAAACCATTCTGGAGTTAACCTAATGAACGTGTTTTCACCATGTGATTTTCCTTCCCCCATAGAATCAAGAGGATTGGTGTAATTATATTATACATGTAGTACCCAAAAAACGTTAAGCATTCGTTGACTGTTACAAAATTTCTTTTTGTAACAAAGTCAAACAATTTTAGATAACAATTCACTACATTTCACCAACTACTACTCTCTGCAATCAAAAGTGCAAAGGTAAGTGATACGTAAGCAAAATCAACTCACGCTATACTGCAGACCCAAATCGTAGGTTTTAAGAAACAGAATATCATGAGTATCTAAGAAGGAAGAAAAAGACAATAAAAATAAAGTGAAAATGAATAGTTACAAGCACACAAATGATATATCTGGACAAAACTAAGTTAAGATGGTATAAAGGCGGAGCAAATAACAATAAACATACCTGTTAAGTCACCAGTAGCAGCCGAAATACCGAGAAAATAACCAGTAGGAAGATGTACACCTTTCACTGAAAAGCAATTCGTCCATTCGTTTTGATTATTTATATCCATATCTACCTAAACAAAATTAAAAGAACGACATTTTTAAAGTGCCCCATCTTCAGCTAGCATAGAAATCAAGAACGTAACATACGCTGAGAGTATTTTTAGTGTAAGTGATCCGAGTAAGAGTTCTGTGATCTTTGTTTCGGAAAGGGGAATGACAACCAGCTAGTTGAGTTTGAGTGCCATCACGATCGTGATCGTAAGTTATTGATCCGTTGCTAACCATAGCACTAACATAAGGATGGTCGTGACCATGTTCACCATTGTGATTGCTATAGGTATCGTAGAAGATTCCCAAACCGCGGAATGTACCTTCAGCACCAAGGGCCGATCCTGGTTTAATATGAGTAGCCGTGTACCAAAAAGCGAAGCCATCACCGAAAAGAGTTCCTTTAGAACCGGACACTTTGAAATTAATGACAACTTCCCAATCCCGCGAGTGAAGTGCATAGTAATTGAATATACCAGCAGTAGAACCTTTCTGATCTCCTGTTAGGCGAACAATACTAGGGGAAACCATAGTTGTACCATAAGTACTCCATCCACCTAAAAATGAAAAGATTGTGACAGATGAAATGAGTTAAATGAAAATTCGATTTACTAAGACAAATATACCTGAGTAAGGAGGAACAAGGGAATGGTCACGCCGCTGAAAATGCTGACATTGGACAAAGGAGAAAATCGAAATACAGATGAGAAGCCAGGGATATTTCATATCTGAATAATTCTTATACGCAATCTAAAAGTATTAAATTGCTACAATTTTATTGGAATAAATAATATAAAGCATAATAAGATTTTTCAACTGCCAATGCAATAACCGCGATAAGTGTTCAACCATCAGTACTTACGAAAATCTCACACCCACAAGGTGAAAATCAAACACTCCGCTGTCAAAATGCTAGACAAGTTGCCGAAAAATGAACCAATAGAATTCAGTGAAGTTGATTGGAGAATAATTAAAAGACACCTATTATGACGAAAAAAAAGACATATGCAGTTCAACTAAGATACAGAATTATGTTTTATTTGAAAACAATACTTTTATAGCTGCATTAACTGCGTCTACCTTTAATATTAATCATTGCTGAATTCATATTGACTAATCGCTCTGCATATTTTGAACAGATTTATTTCATACTGATACTCTGATGTGTATTGTTACCCGTTGTTTTGTACTGACACTAGTTTATTCAAGTATTAAATTTTTGTGTTTAGAAACTCCTTTTTTTACTGTTCTTACCTTCAGAAATATTCTGCTTTATTTATCATTGGCAAGTTATCACGTTACGAAATTCAGCGCTTATTTTGTTAGCCAAGAAGCATTCCGGACATCGATTTTTCTATCACCTCATATGAATGAGAATCACATATAGTGATTTCGCTTACCTAGTGGCACAAAAATGATCTTAATACCATTCCGGAATATTTATGCCTATGATAACACTATTCGACATTCATGCTACTTCGTGCTTAGCGCCTGTGTAGCTTATAAATTATGGAAACATCAGCCTTCAGATAATACAAATCCATTAAGCTTGCATTAGCATCCTAAATTAAATCTGTTTTTCTTGCATAATTAAAATCGGCAATCATGAAAAAAGGATTAACTGGCCACCTGTTGCGTTGCGTACTTCACTAATCTTATATACACGCCTAATTAGCCTAAGCACTGTATTAAGCTGAATGTTGCATCGTTTGTATGCCACTATTTTATTTTTTAATATAAGGGATCAGATATATTTTTAAGCGTTCCAAATTTCACATGGATATTAATACATAATTGTCATGGTATTAAGTAATAAATCATACCAGGTGTGAAAGAATTTGTTTGTTCCAGCATATATTTACGGAGAAAATTACAACATAAACAGGCATGAAATTTGTCCGAAATGAGGCTTTTCAATTCGAATAAGCATTTGCTTTAAACATTGCAATGATATTTGAGATATCGTTGTCGATTTGATTTAGAAGATGCGGCAAAATGTCCAAGGCCCAAATGCTTATTTTCACGAATTTAATGCTACTTATTTCATCGCAAAAATCTTTTCCTTCAGAATGCCTCCAAACGTGAGAAATTGTGTTGATGAATAATCTCTTAATTGTTCGTTTCTCATCATGAATGCGATCCATCATCCATTAATCTAATAATGAGTTGGCACAGCATTGCCAACGTTTTGCCGTCTATTCTAAATGTAAATTAGAACATTTATAGAAGGAATGAAAGAGAAATTAAAATTACGTTAAAGTAATGTGTTCTCTAGAGGTCATATTTGATCATAAGGTATATTATGAAGAGAAAATTCTTGGTCTCTTGGAAATCCACTTTTGTCATCCACCATTTAAATTTTGCCAACCTTCATATCCAATTCATTAGATATCTCCTAATGGAGATTGATGCCGTAGTTCTTAACTTGGCAGATTTACATCTTTAAGGTGACACTATAGGTGTATATTAAACAGACACTATAACAGTCTGATTAACGAGTTGAACCTATTACTCATTATTAGGGTTCACTTTTAATAAATCCTAGTGAACTCTGCTGAATTTAAAAAATCGTTGCTAGTTTTATTTGCCTGATCAAGTCTGTGGGAAATCATATTAGTTAAAGTGGTATGACCGCTCGCACAAGTTAGTCAACCAACCAGAAAGCTCAAATTTTGCGACCATAAACTTTTCCGAATTCCCAGGAGCCAACACAAACTGAAACCAAAATGTCTCCGTTTTTCGCTGCACATGTATCGGGACGGTCAATGATGCCATCACTCACCAGTCAGAGATTGTGAAATAATGAAAAATTTCACGCTATCTGCAGATTCATCCCTACATAAGCACTTTCCATTACGTCTTGTCTCCAAGCGCAAGCAGCAATCTGTGCCTACACCCTGTTTATTTGGCCATTAGACGAAGTAAATATGCCACCTAAGGGGGACATAAGGAGAGTTTTTGCAATTCCACTTCCTTTAGAACTCATGCTTCATCCACCATGATCGAGTCCCAAAATGTCTTGTTCAAAAGAACCACATTCAGGCTAAACTTATTCACGTTTGTAGCCCTAAGAAATGGTACCAGTGCATGATGAAAGCATGACTCCCGTAAAGGCTTGTCTTGTCAAACCTGTTCCCCTCGCAAATAAAGCATTGTTAAAATACAGGCGAAGTTGCGCGTCTCTGTGACAAGTTTCTCATGAGCTTTCATGATCTCTCATTGGTCTCATTCTTGGTGTACACATCCAAGGAACCTGATGGTTTCATATTCAAATTGGACTGAAATGATACCATTGAGAGTTTCACAACCATTATCCTAATTAAAACTCAACCAAGGTACACCAAAAGTGTTTTTGTTCCTGAAATGTTACTTAATGCACTTTTACTAGATTTGGGAACTTTTTCGCAGTATATGTTTCTCCCTTTCGCACTCTTCACCAAATCTCAAAGGCGAGATAGTGCAACTAATTCACTATGCTATAAACAACATTGTTTTATTGCATAATCTTGGAGTAAATTCAAGTTTGAATTCATTTATATGATGTTATTGAGTTCTGAGATTTATAGATATTACTCCAGGCTAATGGGGTTAGGTTAAGCAATGGCACACTTATACACTCCGTTCAGAACTATTTTTTCCACATTCAAAGATTCTACCTCTATATTAACGCCCGTTAATTATAGCAATAACCAGTTGGCAGATACCAGAATCCACACGTCCGAATTCGGAGATTCGGCATTCTAATAGCAAGAACAATTAGAGGTACACAAACAAAAAAGTGGCCTATGCTTACAATGAGCTTTTGATGGCCTATTTCAGAGTTAGTATGGAATGATTTATCCAATTGATGAAGAATGCATTGTTCGTCCAAGGTGGGTCTGATTCAACGGCATTAACAAATGCATGACCTACATAGATAATAATGCTGATCAAACTGACTTTAACCTATCAAAATTAATCATCCAAATTATTGCTTAACATGATCCCACCCATTGTAAGATGTAGGTGATTTTATGAAGTGTGGTCTAAATTTCCATTTACCATAGTATGCTTCAAAAGAAAAGGCAAGATAGAGTAAGTGGCGGTACAAGTTGCATGAAATCCATTATTTTACTATAATGACGGATTTTGACCCCGACAACATGGGATTGTAACTGAGCGAGTCTCGGGTCCTGACTCCTCATGGTGCTTTGCTATTTTAGTGTACTTCCAATTCCTACACAGCACCATGCTTCTAGGCAGCATGCGGAAATTGACCTGAGTACTCATCACTGACAACTTCAAGTCAAGCAATCTTCCCTCCTATCTCGTTGCTCTGAACTTGCTCCGATTCTTGGAACACGCGACAATAAACAAAATGATTCCAGTGCAAACATGTAAAATTAAAAATGGGGTAAAATTATAAAGTATAAAGAAGTTTCCAGACACTGAAAAGGTTTCTAAGTGGTCTTAATATATTTTATATGTTCAAGGTTTTATTACTTGCGCTCATGATGGGCTCTTTCATTGGCTATCGAGGTAGGCAATAAAACCAGTAGAAAACCCTTATTATGATACTCGCTTAACTTTTGATAATGATGGTTTATCAAAATTTAATATTTACATTCGAATTGAAGCGTTAAATCTGAATATATAATGGCGAAAAATTCAACGATACTTTATATCTGAAGGATTACATTTCGAATATCAATTTCCGATTAGAATATGACAGAATAGCAACTGCATCGCACATAAGTAAGCGAAATTTGCACAAAAATGGCACACAATCACGGGCAAGGTGGTTGGAGAGAGAGAGAGAGAGAGAGAGAGAGAAGGAAAGAGAGGGGGCAAAACGCTGTGCTGACCCCGATAAAGGGACACCAACTCTCCCTCCAATCGCTAGCTAGTTAGCTGCTTCACCACTCTCTCGCAGTCAACAAAAGTGCCTACGCGCTCTCTTGACTAATAGAAGCGCGAGCAGCTAGCCTGTGGTTCGACAAAAATCGAGTCGGTGCAAGCACTCACGCACCATAGCTCCGAAATTGTGCACCCTAACAATTGAGATTTGAGAAGAGAGGCCTCATTTTGCGATATGAATTAAACCCTGACACCATGTTAACTTCACCGGCCTATTTTCTCAACTACAAAATCGCAAAAATGGAATTACCGCCTCAGGATTTTCAGGCCAATATAGTGGATTATTATGAAAAGTGAGTACTATTCAACTTTAACTTATCTTTACCACCGGTTGCTTTTCAAAAGCTGTGATTTAGCCCAAACTATAATTATCAAAATTAATTATTTTAATAGATTAGAGTGTAAAGAATAAAAAGTTTTAATTTCGTTTGCTTTAATGACATTCATTTATGGATGAATATGAATTTATATGTTAAACTGAAAAAATACACTTTTACTTCATTTCCATTGTTGAAAAAAGATAAATATTTGACGCTTTTATTTCCCCATTGATTTGAAAAAAATAAAGTAATTTTAGATCATATATTAGCATCCAGTCTGTATGTAGCTAAAAGCCCTGATGAAATCGAATATAATTACAAAAATGTAAAAACGACATTAAAGAGTTTGAACATTGTATCGCTTTTCATTTTGATAGCTTAAAACAATTTTACCTCTGCATATTTAATCATAAGACAAAAGATAAGTCATTCAATTAGTCCACACTTGAATTTTTCGTAACCATTTTAAAAGTATCGAATTAGTAAAATCTTGAAACGGTATTCAAACAT